CTTTGTAGCCGACTGGCTCCCCCCTGTGGTGTATTGGAGAGTTGCACTCTGAACTTAGCAGCCTCGTGATGCATTGATAGTTTTTCTGTTTAAGGCCTAGTTGGCATTTTGTTGAGGAATCAAAATACATTACATAGTACTGCATACATAACCAGGTGGTATCATTAACACGTGCAATAATACCCTAAACATGTACTATCTGTGCAATTTCTTCCCCATGTGCAATATAACTGAGCACAGGCACCACCATTCTTATACCATTTGTTTGGTTATATAGACTGTAATGTGTCTGCAGTTATGTTTACTCTATGTAAATAATAAGATAATTTTGTTGTACACTGTGCAATGACAAACTGAATACCCTGTGAACATAATGTTTGCAGTACACATATCCTAATCAAGAAGCTACAGTGACCAAGTTACTGCCTCCATTAGCTTTGAAAACAACTGTGTAAATCTGGACTTAAGTGAAAAAAAAAAAAAAAAAAAAAAAAAAAAAAAAACACACTAGAAGAGGTACCAAAGAATATCTATAGTAAATTGAATGACAGGACATAGGACACATCAAATTGAAATATGTTTATTTTCATAAAAAATCAAAAGCAATAACCTGCAAAGTACAGGGTTGCAAACAACATCCAAGATATCCAATCCAAAGAAGACAGAATTTAAAAAAAAAAAAAAAAAAAAAAAACCCCAAAGACTATACAACGCAAAAATCTTAATACAGCTGTAGCAGTTATCGCCTCTTCTGGAAGATGTTACCTCTTCCCATTCCACCACGGCCTCTGCCTCTTGCAGCCACTGCAGACAAACACAAGACAGAAGACAACCCAATTTATCAGAATTAGTTTGACTCGGATGACAGAGAGGGTGTCTCCCTGGTCAAGGGAAATTATCACAGAAACCCCAAGGGGCTTATTAATTTTAAGATTCTCAGGAGAGGACTGCCACATAAATGATCTACAAAGTAAGTGAAAATATCCAAGAGATAAATAATACACTTATATAAAACACATTTCAACACAATGTAATGCAGTAAAATATTTGTGTATTTTGTGAATCTACCAAGTTTTTGTTAGAGAGATGTTGAGACAAGCCTGATTTTGTAGCTTTGTTATCCAAGGGACAATTTATTGGGTTCATCTTAATAGAATTCAATATACCACCACAAATTGCAGCCAGAAAATAATTCAATAGAATTGAATCAATGCCTCTGACACAGCCCCGAAGCTGGGACAGGAGAGTGTTCGATGCAGGGTTATTGTAGTCCAATGAAATACACCAGTGTCAACATTATTGCATCTGCACTGTATATACAAATTAAGATGTCTTCATTGTCACCTTAATACAATTTTATAATTAATACCACATTGTAGGTCTTAAGAGGAACCCTGTTCAAACCTTTCTCCTCTGCAGATTGGCGACCCCAAAATTGGGTCAAAATGCAAGTACAATTCAAATGGATTAGGTTCCCTAGGTATATAGACAGGTCTACTGTATGATTTAAGTGCATATAGTAAGTAAATGCATTGACTGGCAACATGAGGGATTCAGTAGCATTTGTGCATAGAATTTCTCTCCTGCCAATTTTGTAGTCTATTGTACAAAAATAAAATAAAGACTAAGAAAGATATTAAATGTGTAAACTGCAGAAATTAAGTGCAACTGCCAAGGAATCTGATTAGGCAGACAAATTCCAGTGTCCTTTGAATCAGGAGACCTTGGTCCAAAATCATCCCACTCACCTTGTGCTTTGAGAATAGCTGCCTTGCCCCTACCCGCACCAGATCCCTGGTTCTTGTTCTTCATACTCTTTAACATAGGGGCATTCTTTAACATGTCAGGTAAGATCAGGAAGCGAATCTTGCTGCCCCGGATGTAGACTTGCTCCAACTGTGCCACCCGGCCATCACGATAAGTCACTGTGATATTGGACATCTGCAGCAATGGAAGATGATGTCTAATTTTAGCATGACATATTCAATCACATAGTTGACAGTCTTTTTAGAGTTATAGTAAATTTAACACGTGAAGTCTTTAAGCCAAAAGGCACAAATACACTACAAGCTAAATTAAGCTTAAACAACTGTATAAACAGTGTAACAAAAAATCTGTTAAATTAGTGGTTCACAACTCTGGTCTTTCAATACCAAGACTCTACTGATTTTATTTCTAAAGAGCTAAGGTCTGGATCCAGGACTACAGTACTTGAGGATCAGGGTTGACAACTGCTGTGTCCAGTAAGACTCAAACTTTATATTAATGAGAAGTCAAGAAACACTTTATATTGTCTCTTCTTGTATAATCAATCATAGTCACAAAACCTCACATAATTATTATAGCCTCAAACTGATTTATCTTGGAAAGGAACAGAGGAGGAACACAGAGGTAATATTTAAAAGCAATAAATACATGAAAAATAAAAAATTCAAACAATTTAATGTAAAAGCAATGTGAAAATCTACTTAATTACAGTACCAAGTACTAAATCTTGAAAAAAAGGGTAACATATAATGTGAAATCAGACTGTAAGATGGCTTCATTTATGATTATTATTCAAGTTTTATTATTCAAGACCAACCTGGCAGTTCATGTTGTCCTCAGCCTCGATCAGCTTGCCCCTGTACACCTCTCCTGTATTGGTCTCACAGGTCACGATGTGTCCCTCTGCTTCATGCAGAACCTTGATTGGCACGCCGATGGACATTTTTCAACTGTCTTCCTGAAACACAACATGCATTGTAGGACATATTAGAATGTGCTGCCCCATAATAAATCATGCAATACATGTCTGTCAACTATCACAAACCTATTATCTCTAATCTACAATTATTTCAATACATTCTTAATAACAGTTTTATTACTATCTGATTATTTTAGTCATATTGTGAAACACTACTTGTCTTTTATCTTATTTAAACTAAACCATTAAATGCGTCAGTCAAAATGCTTGTTATGTGAGCCCATTGATGGCATTAGCCATCTCAACACTGCTCTAGCTCTGGGGCTGTCTCCTAAACAGACTAAAACTACTGTTTAAGACATAACAATGAGCCGATTTATCCTTTGGTGGGATGCGGTGTGCGGATGAGAATGGTGAACTTCAGGCTTGATAAAAATCAACCATTTTCATTGCAGACGCATCGAAAGCAAACCGCTAGCTAAATTAGCCACATTAGCTGGCTATGCTAATTCACGAGAATGCAGGGTTATCTAACAAGAGCAAAGACTTCTACACCTTATTTTGAGCCAATTAGTGGTACATTACAAAATACAAACCCTAACACGATCTAAATATTAATTTTAACATTAACACCGAATCCAATTTTGAAGTAGAAAGTTTCAGTACGGAAAATAGAGGGAGCCATGTTTGCTAAGTGGATGAATGAGCTCCAATGAAACACAAAGACAAACACCACTGTTGGGTAAACTAAGTGATAATGCTGTTTTGTTCAACCTGTTGAGACGTTTACCTCGATTCTGTCTTCAAAAAGGACTTCTTTGTTGTTTTATTTTCGAGAGACTCTGCAACGTGCGCTTGTCGCTTTCGCGTCCCTTTTTGAGCCTTTTTCCGCCTACCCACAATGCCTCAATGATTCAATGAAGTGCTTCCTGTGCCATTGTTTTCGCATTGCATTGTGGGACTTGTATTTTTTTTTTTTTTTTTTAGCTCATCTATCCTCTATATGGAAAAAGGACTTCTATTTGGCCTCAAAATGGAAAATTTGCGGTTTTATGCTGCCTGTGCGTACACATCTATGCAAAATATGCAAAACTAATTCTGTTAATTTGCTTGTTCTTTCTGAAAGAGAGCACATGCTAAATGCACGCCCATGCCATGCTTCCTATATAGTAGTTTATGATTGAATGGCACGCCATAAAGTGGTGTAATGGATTGTATTCCTTCTGGACATGGTGCCATCATGGTGGAGCCTTGTCTGTTATTATTACACAAATGATGGTCTACAACAGTCCTTTATTTTATTAATTTTTAGTATCTATAAATTACTCAGATTTCAATCTCCCATAATCACATAGTTTTATTAACCCTTATCTCATGCTTATTTCATTCAAATACCCTTGTACATGGTCACAAAGTTTAGTAAACAATTGATATGTATAGTTTGTGAGTAAATATACAGTACGTTTTCTAGAAACATACCCATGTATGTTTCCTGGAGACATGTCTCTTGGATTGCTTTAAAGCACATAAATGTCGCTTAATGCAGGTCTCACATAGGAAGGGCTTTTTAATGAGGAAAGAGAAAGCATAATGGCATAATAAAAGACATCATCAAATGAACCTCCATCTGATTTCCATTGCATTAGGTTCATTGACTGGCGTCAGCAGCCAGGCTACTCTGTAAACACCTCTTACAGAGTAGTCTGTAGTCTTGTGTATGTACTTCGTGTGTGTGTGTGTGTGTGTGTGTGTGTGTGTGTGCATGTGTGTTGTTCATGCTGTCTATGTGTGCACGCTTGATTCTGAAAGTAGCCACTTACAGGTATATGGACTGATATTTGAATAGATCAAACAAGCTCTTTGTTTTGGATGGTTGTTAACTGGCCTGAATACATCAGTGCCTTTGACTCATATGTCACATAGTTGTTGAAGGAGCAATGGACACGTGTTGCCTGGCAGTTATCAAAGTAGCAACATCATGTGTTCTGTAGCTATCCAGCAGTTTGAGAAATGACTTTTTAACAGATCTATACATAAGAGGTAGTGCATGCCTTATACTTGCAAACATCATTGTTTTCCCCAAGTTGTCACAGAGGACTGTTTTATGGGTCACTCAGACCATTAGTCACAGCTCTTAGTAAGTCCTACTTCAGTCTGTATGTGCTTCATCTAAAGCAGTATGGAGGTTCGCGGTGAAGTTGTTCAATAACAGCTGGGCATTGACTGAATGTCATTCAGTTTGGTCACACAAAGTGACTCCAGTTGATTAAAAAAAGTGATCTACAACCTATTTAAAATGTATTTAATTCTCCATTGGGTAAAAACAAGGCACAGATGGCCATTACAAAAGGTGACATGATGCAATATCAAAGATACATTATCAGATAAATGCAGTTCAAAGATTTAAAGACTCTTAAAAATGAATTGCAAGGTACAGTAGAGTTGAGAAAGTATTGTATTCTGCACATTAAGATGCACATTGTTTTAGAGACATACTACCTAAAAAAAATGATATTTATCATGGAAAAATTTTAGCATCAGCACATTTTTTTGTGTGCTTATAGATCCGATCCATCTGAGAGATTGTTGATGAGAACAAAGTAGTAAAGCAGACCAAAATATTGCCTTGCAATCAGTTCATGTGACTCCGGAAAGAGAAAAACAGATTTAGTGCTGCTGTTGATTTGCTGAGGCGTCATTAATCCTTCTTCATGTTTTCACATGTGCAGACTGTTACTTGTTTTCTGGCAATAGAAATATGTTTTAAATACTTAAATATCTTTGTCATGAGACTTCTGTAAGCTCTGTAGAGCAGACACAGTCAGTCTGTTTTAAGGAGAGAGCTTGAACATTCACAAAAGCAATGCAGCTCCCACTGTCCTTCAGCTCCGAAACACCTGTTGCCCCCTCCAAATATGTGACTGACTCTATTCCATCCTGTGCAGCAAATCCCATGATGCATGGCTGCTGTTGTGTTGCTGAAAGGGTGCTACCCTGTATTTGGTGTCCATTGGGTATGTAGCTGCTTGGTGCAGAGTCTAACTTTGATGTCCAGTGGCAAGAGCCCTCATGAGTAGCTTTTGGAGGAGTTCGGTTAGGACTGTGGTCCAGAATGTAACTATTTACCACTGTGTCGCATGATGAGCGCTCTTTAGGGGAAGAGGAAGAGGTCCGTGTGATGCTCCTGCTCATAATACCTCTACCATCACCACTCCCAACCCCAAACCCAGGTACATCCCTGTGCCCCAGGATGTGCTGGTACAGGATCTTCCGGAAGGTCTGTCTGAACTCCCGAATGCGGTAGGCATAGATGAAGGGATTCACAACAGAGTTAGCATGGGAGAGGATGATGGCAATGTTCATCACCCAGATATGAGGGCGGTTACAGTCCTGACACAGGTGGTTGAAACAGTTGATGATGTGCAGCGGAAGCCAGCACATAGCAAACAAACCTACAATGATGGCCAGTGACTTGGCAGCGTGCACTTCCCTCTGCAGGGTTGAACGAGACGAGCTCGAAGACGAGGTTATTTCTCCAGGAGCGGGTGCGTGTGCAACTTTGAGCCCCATCAGTCGGAGCTGACGGCGTGCGGCCATGAAGATATGGGCATAGATGACCAGCATGACCATGAGAGGCACCAGCACACAGCCGAAGAAATTATAATAGACCATGTAGTCCAGGGTAACCACTCCTTCAAACAGGCACTCGGTCATGCCTTCAGGGCAGCTGTTACTGCTGTTGGTGGCAACTGTGCTGTTCCATCCTGTACAACAGAGGCATGGGTCATTTTTTTGTATAACTATTGCGTCATATTGCATTGCATGCTTTGGGTTTCAGACATGAAACTAACAGTTGGCCTCAGTTTTCCTCTCTGAAATCATCTCAGCAGTAAGAACCACTTCGCTGAATTGAAGCCAATGTGAAAATGCTAGATGCATTTGCTCTAATTGTCGATATTAAAGTGAACTGGAGCACTTTTCTCTAGAATTACAATACTAATCCATTTTCCCTTTTTTTCCTAAGTATATTTTTTCCCCTCCTGTTCTACGTCTGTCGATTTTGAAAATGGTTGTTCTCGTAAGGGGATGTTGAGGTTTAAAACGGTATGTTAGGAGATTTGATAACTTTGATTAATGCTTGACTGTTGCTTACTTTTTTCAAAATTCAGATTTTCTGGCTTTAAACAAACTGACAATGAAACAAATGTAAGCCAAAACGTGGGCATCAAGCCATCTTCTCAGAAACCTTTGGACAATGTAAGAGGGGCTGCAGTTATGTTTTTCTACAGTCTAGGACAACAAAACTTCACTGGAGTAAGTAAAAGCAAACATTTACATTTGCCAAAATAAATCACCTCTGTTCCAGCCCAGCATCGGAGTCAGGCCGATGCCTACTGAGAGGACCCAGCACAAAGCGATGATGCCCTTTGCCCTCGGCCCTGTGACCAAGCTGTTGTACCTGAAAGGTGGAGCATAACACAATGATACATGAGGGCCAGCTGCTTTATCTGATCTCATTGCGATAATATCTGTCTGCGGTTGTGGATGGTTGTGCATGAAAGCCTGACTCCTTATCAATTTAATAAACCAGAGAAAGTTTTAGTTGTTGAATTACTGGCTTTTAAGTAAGGCCTGATAGTGCCTGCAAAAAACACACATTAGCTGGTGGAGGAGTAGGCACTGTGTGAAATCCTGCTGTGTCACTGTGTATGACTGCAAACATTTACTTGAATGTGCATTAATCTTTATCTCCTTCCTATACTGTAATTTACTGACAGACTTCCTTCTCATCTCGGATGTTAACTCTGAGCTCTGAACAAAGTTGGGCCATAAAAACAATTCCAAGCAAAGTGAAAAAAAAAAAATCATCAAATGCATCATTTCCCTATTTTCATGGCTTGTAACTGAACTCAGACTTGGCTTCACATAAGGGGGATTTGTGTGTGATGTATATCAGCTACACACCACACTTGTAGAAATGTGTCCACAGCAAACGATAAGATGGTCTTAGCTTAAGTATAGAAAAGCTTTATGTTTAATTCAAGTTTGGTCATTTTTAAGTCATCTAATTTGACACTGACATTTTTATATTCATAACTTATTATATACACTGTTGCCCACAATGTTGGAATAATTTTGTTTACAGACACAATCCTCTGTTTATTCCTATTTAAATGTGTCATTAATCACTTTGGAAGAGACTGACTACTAAAGTTTTGAGAAGATATACACTTTATCTGTCAAGAATAAATCACATTGTCACAATCATTTCAAAGAGGTAAAAAATATTTTATTCCAACTTTATGAGCAACAGTGTACATTTTTATTATAACACTGACACAATGACATAAGAAAAGTGCCTAGACGGCAGGACCTGACAATACTCTATAGACAATAAAAATAAATACATTTTAAAATATCTGATTTCAATTTTATTTTTAAGGTATTTTTAAGACTGAAACTCCTCCCCACCTCTATGGGAGAATAACTATTCTTTGCTGTATCACCTCACCTACATTGACTTAAAATTGTCCCTGTGTTTTGTAGCCATTATACCGTGTGACTGATATCTTTCATGGGGAGGGTGGCAGCCAGTAGGCTATATTAAGCTCCCTAATATTGAAATGAATTATTAGCTCTCTGGTCTTTGGTGCCAGGGTTGTGGCCTCAGTGTGAGCTCACAAACAGACGCAGAAGCCGTTATGCAACTGCTTATGCAAATGTGTCACCTGCTGTGGCTTACTAGATGAAATATCCTCTCATGACAGGGGTAAGGAATGCAGCTGTGACTACACAAGAGTGGGCTTGCTCACATACACAAACAATATGAGCCAATGGTGTGTCAAAATGCCTATTGCAGAAAGAACAAATAAGGAACTTTGTTGCAAGCGGCAAAATAACCGAGCCATTTGAAAGAGATGGTATTTGAGTGGTGTTGATATAGGCGGATGGTAATGATCAAAGCCCTCAGCAGGCTTCATCCCTCCAGCAGCACACAAAGGAGTAACCCAATAAAGCCTGTGGAGACATACATCTCTGTCAACCCACAGCCGGCCAGATTAGCCCTAATTGAATAAGATCTCTCTGTAATTCATTGTGTTTTGCTACACGACGCCTCTCACCTCTAATGGTTCATCTCTGATGTGTGAAAGACTGACTGTGTAAAAGGCAACAGTTTACATTCAACAGTAAAGGAAAAATAATTCTCATAAAACAACCCCCCACCCCACCCCACCCCCCAAAAAAAAGAGGAAAAAAGCTTCACATTCATCAAGTAGAAGAAAGATTCGGACAGTGTTGAACAGTGATCTGAATTTATGAGAGAATTTATAAATTTATATGGAAATCTGTGTGTCTGTTTGAGTTTTCTGGACAGTTGATGTGACCCTTTACTTTCCCCTCACCTGAGCGGGTTCTTGATGGCCATGTAGCGGTCCACAGCGATAGCCAGCAGACTGAAGATGGAGCTCTGGGTGAGCACGAGGACGAAGCAAGCGATGAACAGGCAGCCGTAGAAGTTGGCACAGAAGCCGGTGCTGATGTTGGTTTGTAAGAGAATTGAGAAGAAAGACAAACATTACAAAAGATACAAATATTAAAAATCGAACAAAGTAGTATTTCTTCAATTACTACCCCAAATCAGTTTTAGTGTAAATTTCGCTTTGATCCAGGATGACACTGATTTTCAGACGATTAAGAAGTGTAAAAATGAAATAACAACCGTGATGATACCTAATAGTGATGGCGAAGGGAATTGCCAGCAGCCCCACAGCAACATCAGCCACTGCCAGTGACACCACAAAGAAGTTGGTGATGCTCTGCAGGTTGGAGTTGAGGTAGACGGCCCAGCAGACTAGGACGTTCCCAGTCACAGCCAGGCAGGCGATCACCAGCTCCAGGCCAATATAGACCAGCTGGTCATTCTTCAGCATGGTTATTTTTTCCTCTTCTTTGCTTTCTTTGCGCTTTCATCCCACACACTCAGCTGCTTGACGTGTTCTCAGACAAAATACCTGCTCACCAAACCGCATGGTACGACGTGACGGTGGAGTGACTGTGTCGCTGGGGGACAACCAAGGCAGGAAGTTCCCACCACAAACATCACACTTGACTTCACTCGTACCATCTACAGTCTGTATCAGTCAGTCAGTCTTCCTCTTCGTCTCCCCTTTGTTCGGCTCTGTAAACTTTGTCACAGATGGCAGCAGAATATCGAGGAGGGAGCGTCTGGGAGTTTTGCCCAATGGCTACCAAATTAAGAGCAGTGGTCTGGAGAGAGGGAGAGAGAGAGAGAGAGAGAGAGAGCACAATCTCAGTGGTATAGCCTGAACAAACAGATTGCAGGTTACCACACACAGGTCAGAAAAGCCATCTATCTCTGTAGGACAGGGGGGGGGCAGTTTATTTTCCACACAGGGCCAAAGCAGACAGCCTGACAATGCACCTTTTATTTCAGGAAAAGTTTCCCGAAACCCTTCCACACACTAATCATTCCCGCCACTGACATGCTTTCCTCGAAAATCACTGATAATTGCACAAAGTAAGCTACCTATAAATTTGAAAGCCATTGTACAATTACAGGAACACTTTGTTAATGCTAGCTCTGCGGCTGTTTTCTCAAGGTATTTTGTTAAATGCCTGAATATTGTAAGGAGATTAGGGTATATTATTACAAACAGTGGTACAACCTTAGATAGCCTTCACAAAGAAGGCGTTTGAATGAAATGTGGGTCAAGTTACTCAGTTCACTAGGGGGCAACAATTCAAGGGAGTGACAGACAGGTAGGTCAATGATAATTGAGGCTGTACTGATGCTGTAGTTAGAAATAAATGAAATTATCTTTGATCTACAGCAAAGAAGTTAAGTCTGTATGGAAGCCTGCTATGACATTTAATAAGTTAGCTTAGCCTGGGCTTATTTTAATAAAATTTGTTTCCACCTGGTGTGACCCGACGCGCTTATTCGCTTTCTTGCAAAGAGTCAGATGAGAAGTTTGACACCACTCTCACGTCTGTTTGTTAACTTTGAAGCCGAGAGTTGCTTAGCTTAGTTTAGCTCAGCGTAGCTTATCTTAGTTTAGGATGAAGACTGGAAGCAGGGGCAAACAGACGGATTGGCACTGTCCAAAACTTAAAAGATGCTCACTAGCACTGTTAAAAGTTCAATCAATAACACGTTTTATCTCATTTGTTTAACCCATGCACAAAATGAAAGATAAAAATGATAAGCCGTGGATATACAGGGAGTTACATTCTGCACATCGTCATATTTCTAAAAATGTTGAGCTATTCCTTTAAGGAATAAAAAAAATGTTTGTTCGTATTATGTATTTATGGAAAAAAATTACTATCAGTCATTATCATTAGCAGATTTTTTTTAAATGTTATATTGGCTTCAAAATGACAGTACCGGTCAGCCTATAATACCAACATTATCTTAAAAGGGCTACTGTATGTCATTTGACCCACACCATACATCGCACATTTCATCCTGAGAAAAAAACACACATAAAGAACCTGTTTTTATCTCCTGTGAATTGAGAGACAAAGCCCACAGAGCAGACATGTGCTGAAGGTGAGAAATGTATTAACTACAGTATAAAAATTTGTAAATACTATATTTAGTTCCTGCCAAGGTCTATGTTGAGTAAGACTGGACAAGATAAGATTCAACAAGATTGAATGTATGTCAAACAAATCAACAAAGGGGAAATTTGGTCACTATAGGAACAATGCTGGGAGTCTGTCTGATCTGACCTATTTTTGGTGCCTTACGTTAGCATATCTCAGAGAATAGGAATTCCCAATCCAGTCGTCATTCAGTCACACTGTTTCCCAACAATGTCCAAGTTTTTGTGCAACGTTTCTCTGACACATTAAGGTTAGATTAAGGTAATAATGATCACAATTTTTATACAAAATTATGAGGTAGATCGAACAGTTTCACTCTTTAAATGTACTGTCCAGGATCTATGAGTCCTTGGAACCTATGAAGATGCCCTGACCTCCTCCCTGCAGCTCCGTCTCTGAACACTGGTGTGCTCACACCCAGTTAATGTCAAATAAGATCAGGTCTAAGTGAAAGTAGTTTTTTATTATGAGTTATAAATTGTAATAGTAATATATTTGCCAAATTAAGTTTCAGTTAAGTTAAATTCAGTTACTATCTACAAAACATTAGGGACGGAAACTCACATTTCCCCTGACTGTTCTGCTAAAAACATGTATTAATTTAATTTTAAAATGATTTAAAGGTACAAAGGTCATTTCTTTTGATTCCCCACTTAAGTAGCAATTTTGACTGTGGCTGTTCAGGCTTGTACTTTATCAGAAAGCTCAAGCCAAAATAAGCCGCCTGCACCAGTACTGCACTTAAGTGTCCTTACATGGAAATGTAAAGACACCCTGCAGATAACCTTTTTGAAAATATAAAGAGAAGAGAAAAAAAACCCAACAAATTTCTTCCCTTCCACAAATTCATGGGAGTTGTCATTCTATGTTCAAATCTACGTCTTTTGGCCATATATAACCCTGTGGCTCCATCGCAGTGATCCTGGTGGGCAGCACATCAGACCAATGTCGTGTTTTTCCTCTATTGTTCTGCTGCTGAAACCTTCTTACAGCCCAAAGGAATTTAAAACCCAGGGTTTATCCAGCAGATTTGGAAAGCTACAGCAACAGAAATTTGTCCAGCCTTTGAGTTGCTTAAAGACCTCAAGAGGTTGCAAAAGTTTCTGAACCTGCACAGGAAAAGTCAGTTAAGTCAGTTAAAAAAACAAAACAAAACAAAACAAAAAAACAGAATTGGAGAAGTGTTGGAGTTAACAGGTTGTAACATAAGCTATCACATAATGAGCCCGCTTGTTGAACCTTCTTGCACTTGGCTGTTTTGGCAAAAACTGCTCCTCATTATGAAAAAAACATAGGCCAAGAGGTCTTGGAGGAAGTGATAAGAACATGCACATCCTGCTGGAGGGGATCTGTCACTGCCCTGTCAATCAATGTACCAGCTCAGCTCAATCAAAGTCAAAGGGAAACAAGAAGAAATGTTGTTGTATGTCCATTCTGTTTTACCAAAGCACTGTGTGTATAAATAACGAGAGAGATACCAATGTCACATCATGAACTCTTGATAGCAGGAGCAGATTAAGACAACAGAGACATAAACATTGTCTGAACCAAGCAATAAGTAGCCCATAGTGAACAGTGACCACAGGGCATGTTTTGTGTTTGAAGTAAAAGCTGTCTAGTGATGACGAAAGGCAGTTTCCCAGTAAGTCTGTATTTTTACTTATCAGCCTTCAAATTTAGGTAATTCACACACTATCATAATTATAGTTACAAAAAGCTTATTCCTATCATTTACTTTTTTTTACTGATAGCAATAGAAGAAAAAAACAATACCTGATAGTAATTAGTTTGAACAGCTTTAGTTTATAAAACACAGTCGTTAATTCCATAGATTATGGAAAAAAAACACCTGTTTAGCTGTTGCAACTCAAGTGAGAAAATGTTCCAAAGCTTAATTAACATCTATAATACATGACCTGAACAACAGAAGAGAAAAAGTCTTTACTAACCTTATTGTTGGGATGAAAAGAAAAAGACGTGTTTCCACCCAGTCAGTCTGTTGGCTGCCTGCGAACCATTAGGAAGTCAAAGAACACAACAGACAGAGAGACCTGAGTGTGGAGAGAAGAAAAAATTGATGAAAACAGAAAAACATACAAATCCTCTGAGACGGCGCCGCTGCTCATGATGGGTCTGTCAGAAGTTTCAACGCTGCAACAGGAAAACGCGCACAGACGCGCCGCCTCAGTGTGTGTGTGTGTGTGTGTGTGTGTGTGTGTGTGTGTGTGTGTGTGTGTGTGTGTGTGTGTGGCTGGGG